TTTTCCTGTGGGGGACCATCGGCTGCTTTGCTCTGAGGATCAGGGTGTGTGTGAGGAACAGGAAGCAGACCTTCCTCTGCCAAACCTGTAATTGCCCCCTGGAGTCACCGTCTGCTAGAGCGCCCCTGGGCAGAGCTCCCTCCGTCCACGTCCACACGGGAACGGCCTGGCTCCCCCTCTCGAAGGCTGTGGTCTGCTCTCCTGTTTTCTGTCATTCACACTCTCTCTCCTAACTCTTACCTTGCACAATTTTGCTGAAACCTAATTTCCTTGATATCTCTGCTCCCCTGACTTAATACAGCATCCTTAACAATTCATAGTCTACAGAGTTAAGAGGATCACTAGAGGGAGAAGCAATAAACAGACACCCAGTCTGCTATCTTGACCGTCTATCATTATTTCCCACTGTCAACATACACACGCAGAAGAAAAAAATACCAAATCCAACTAGACACGATGTGTTGGAGAATGAGCTGTTTGAGCTACTGTACTTTTCTCTTGACTCACTAGTGGAGAATGCTTACAGTTTCTGCCTAGGCCTTTTAGAATGCCAGCTCGCGGGCTGTTTGCTCAGAACCTCACTGCTCTTCTGAAAAAAACATGAGCCACACAGAGAGATGACATGGCGGTCAACCATGTCACCTGAGCAACTAGTGACAGCCAAGAACAACTGCAGCCACATGGGTAAGCCACTTGGACATCAAGCCAGGTCTAGGGTGAGATGACTCCAGTCTCCTGCATCAGAAACTGTCACTGAGAATTATCACAGATCCATGAGAGTTCATGATATATTTTTGTTTTAAACCACCACCCGCTGGAAGGGTTAGTTACGCAGCATCTGATAACCTAAACATCTTCAAGAGTTTTACAATCAGGTGAAGAACAAACACACACAGGTAGATTCTAATAATCCAATATAGTAAATATGTAAATGATAAAAGTGTGCGCAAGATGTTATGGGGGAAAAACTGAGAAGGGAAACCTTGAGAGAGGGTACTGGGGGCCCAGGAAAGACTTTATAGATGAGATGGCATTTACAAGGAAACTGAAAGACAGAATAAAAATTGTTCAGGCAAAAGAAAAGCGAGTCATGACCAAGGCGAACAGTATTAAGGGAACTATAAGCATTAAAATTTTACTGGATTTTAATTATTGGGAGACAATGGTCAGAAATGCGATGGAAGATCGAGGCAAGGGGCCAACTCATTCAGGGCCCTGGATAAGCCATACTGAGGATTCCACACTGGGTCACCTAAAAGACAGGAAGCCACTGAAGGCTTTCAACCTAAGGAGCAACATGACCAAATTAGTCTTTCAATTGAAGGTTGAAAGCAGAAGCAAAACTGGTTGTCCGGCCAGGGGGCGAAAACCACTGTAATAATTCAGATCATGTAAAGGGGGGTCTGATCTGGGTCTGCCTGGAGAAGTGGATGAATTTGGAGATATTATAGAGAAAAAGTCAACAGGACTATTGATAGATTTCAAGCAGGGATGAAGATGGGGGGATTAAGTGTGACTTTCACGCTTCTTGCTTTGCAATGGAGAGAAAAATTGTGCTACAAACTAATGGGATTGAGGAAAAAAATATTGATTTGAAATATTGAGTCTGAGGTGCCTGCAAGAAATTGAGTGACATCTAGCAAACCTTGGGCATATAAATATCCTGCAAGAAGGAATTAGGGTTGGAAATTCACTCATTCATGCATTCATTAAATCATTATTAAGTCACTGCCAGGTGCCAGGCACTACTCTGGGTGATTAGATTACAGCAGAACAGCAAATGGACAAAGGGCCTTCCTCCTAGAAATATATTCTAATACAGGAGACAGACAGAAAATAACCAACCTTCTTGAAATAATAAATAGATCGAGGATGACTGGAGGTGTTATTTTAGACAGGGTAGTTCTGAGAGGTAGGGGATCTCAATGGGCATGGCTTAAAAGCCAGCAAGAGAGAAAAGTCGCCTCCAGTGAAAACTGAAGAAGAAAAAAGAGTGTGTGGCAGGTCAAGGACATGAGAAAGTAAATCAAAAACTATCCTCACTTATATAACAAAAGATGAAAATGTATTCAAGGGTTTATATAACCTGCTGGATAATCTTTTTTTTCTAAAATAACTAAGTCCATCAGTGTTAAATGATTGATGGAAATCAAAATAAGCAACAGCATTTTTTAACAAAATGGAACATCCCTCGGATACTGGTGCAGTATGAAATATGTAAAGAAGAATGCCATACAGTCTTTTATCAAAAGAAGATGAGCACACACTCAACACAGTCAGCTAAAATAGAATTCATTATACATTTAAGTACTTACTTTTGTAATACCGGGCATAAATGTTTTAAAAAGTTACATCCTTTGTTGTAGGTGTGTTTGTATATGTACACCATTTCATATCAGTTTATTTTTCTGCATGCCTCTGTAGGTAGCGCTGGGTAAAATTTGTGCAGGACTTTATAAATTTCAAAGCAATTTTGTACCCGTTATAGGCCTAGGAGGCTAACTTTAATTAGATACATAAATTTCAAATACTTTCTCATACATGTATTGGAAAACGCAATACAGTAGGTCCTCGGGTTACGTCAGAGATCTGTTCCTACAGCGCGACAACGCAACTGTCACCTAAGTTGGAACCCACCTACATAAGCAACTACATCACTCACATGGAGCACATACACAGCAGTAATGAAGTGAAACAGTAAAAAAAAATTTAAAAGAAAGATAACGATTCCTGACCTTTACTTGTGGTAAATAAATAAAAAACAAAAAGCACATATGTACATACATCGAATAGACGGAACTTTTTTTAAATAAATAAATGGGAGATGGCGACGTAACCACGAAATGACATATGTTGAGTCCAACGTAACCCAAGGACTTCCGGTATTTCTAAATCTATGCTATGCATCACTTTTTTTTTCCATTTTGTTCTAAGTTGCAATCACCAATCTAAGTTGTGAACACAAAAGTAGGCACACCATTTCCTTTCTATGATAGAACTCTTTGGAATGGCTAATACAGGCCACAAGTTGCAAAGAGCTTGATGGACTTTCTTCCCAGGGGAAAGGTTGTGTAAATGGCTATGTACAGATAAGGTCTGCTGTGGTCCATAATCTCATCAAGTTGATTGTATGCAAATATAAGACAGCTTTACTGTAAGACAAATGGCTACCTGCACACACTGTCAGAATTATGTTTCAGAAAAACGGTGCAATCTTGTTTTATTTTCTAAGAGCGACAGAGGAAGTATTAGGGCATCGGTGAATTTGTGCTGTTATAGCTTTTGCTTTTCAGTGGCCTGTATATATGAGTTTCTTTGGTTTATTACTAAACTTGATTATTCTCTACAAATGACTAAGCTTTTCTTAGGGCAAGTAGGTTGTAAGTATTCGAAGATCATCTGTTTTCATTTGTAGCATAATTACCGTACATTGCTTACTTCAGTATTTAAGTATGATCATCCATCACATTTCTCTGGCCACGTTTCATAGAATTTGTCCTCTTATTAATTCACACATATAATAGCAGGCTAAAATAGATGCAATCTGATGCAGATCCTTGGCAATTGTAACTTTCAGAAGTCTTGAATCCTAATTGAGATTTCTTGCATTAAAACTATGAAGTTTTCAGTGAGAGATGGGTAGAGATTTTATACACAGAATGTGTCTGATATCTCAAGCAATGTATCATCTTTTTTAATATGGAAGCAATGTTTATAGCTCCAATTCACACATTTGAATCCTTGGAAAATATCATTTCCAGAAAAATCAACAGAAGACATAACTCAGAAAGTACTAAAGGCCATCACTGTACAAGAGGGAGGCGTCAGGGTGGCTGCCAACTCCTGCCCACCTTGTCATCTTGCAGAACACTTGCATTTTTCAGCTTCAAAGAAATAAAGTTGCTTGAGAATAGTTAAATGGTGCAGGGCCTAGGGTTCGCCATTCACTCTTTCTCTGCTCTTAGGAGGCAGCTATTCTGCCTCCTTTCCTGAACTCTAGAAAACAGAAGCGTTTGGGAGCTTAGGATAATCATTTTTCCCATTCCACTGTCCATCCATCACTGCATTCCCCCTCGGGCGTAAGCAGGAGTCAAATTGACAGGGAAATTATATTTCTGGGTATCGCGGTGCGTGAGGGGAGAGATCTCAGCTGTGGGGAGTCGCTAATGCAATATCCCATTTATAAGGAAAAAAGGCAAGCCTCTTCATTTACGTATGCATACCGCATTTTCAGGTGCTCCCACGCCCTAGGTGGATAAGTGCACATTTATACTAACCAAATAGATTATTCCAGTAGGCTATGCATACATGACAGTGCATCTATGCCAACGGAACAGCTCTGGACCGGGTGCCTCGGACAGAAAACACACATGGAGAGTTTGCACTGCAAACTTTGTTGAAAGCGATCAATAGGGTATCAAGTCCTCTGTCAATGACGGCAGAAGGTTCCAGGCGCTGTTGGTTTCATAAGCCTGTGTCCTGCTGAAGCTTACTTCCCTGCGGCTCCAGGTACCAGCACAGGCTACTCCGGAGCTGAGAGTCTATCCTCGTTTGGTTAACAAATTCCCAGCAAAATATCCCCCCCCCCCCTCCCGCCTGCCCCGCCCCGAGCCCCCAGGAGCTGTAGTGATGTCATATCCGTCGTCCAGGTCTCCACACCTCTCTGGGCGCCTACTCCCTCGGTCTCTTTCTTGGGTCCAAACTTTTGAGGTGGACGGGCGAGGAGAGGAGGGCAGAAGGGGCGGCGCGCAGCTGGGAGGCGCTTCAGCACCGCGGTCAGCGCCCGCTGCAGACGCCCCGCCAGGAGCTGCGGGCTGCGCGCCAGGAGCGTGAGCAGCACGGACGCCCCGCTCCGAGATGCCTGCGGAATGATCGCCCCCCAGGGCGGCTGCTGGGGCTGCCGCTGCCTCGGTCTCCGCGCGGCTCTGCCCCGCGGGCGGAAAGTGCCACGGGAGGGGAAGGTCTCGGTCTCCGCAGTGGCACTGGAGCGGCGACAGAAGAGAGAGTGAAGAGGCGGCACCCAACCCGGGGCAGGATGCAGGCGACGGCGCACCTGCTCAATCTGCTGCTGCTGTCGCTGCTGGCTGGATTCGGTCCTTCCCAGGTATGCGCGATTTGTTAACTCTTGGCTTGAAATCAAGATGCCATAGGAAACCAACCGACCAAAAATGCAAATACATACCCCCCCCCCCCAAAAAAAAAGGCGTGCAAGACGGCTGTCCGGGCCACCTTGTGACGCCCAGCCTTTGCCCGTGGCTTGGGTGGTAGATAACAAGGTGAACTGCCTGCCCAGGAGGAATAGCGCCTCGAGGTAGAGTCCGGGAAGGGGGGAGGGACCAGGCGCGAAGGGAATGAGGCTGGGCAGCGGGCAATGCGGCTCTGGGGGAACGGGCTCATTCTGGGTCCGGGCGCTAAGGTGCTGTTGGGAAGTCGCCGGGGGTAATGCCAGGGAGTCAGCGGCGGAAATCATGCAATTTGTAAACACGGATGAGGAGCCGGTGAGCGGAGCCGTTTCTTTGTTGAAAGCGGAGGAGGGCTGTGTGTTTTTCCCAGCGGATCCCGGCGAGGAATACTCCCCTGGCAGACGTGCTGCGGTTTGTGGCCGAAAACACTGGCGCTGCTGCCTGCAACACGCAGGGCACAGCGGCCGAGCCGGACTCTGGCCCCCTCGGCCGGGAGGCAGGCGTGGGTGAACGGGGCTGGGGTTCCTCTGCTGCTTTCTGTTCATGGAGGGATGAGGGGGCCCAGCAAGTTCTGATCACGGGTGATCAGAGGCAGGAGGCAGAGTCCTGGGAAGGCTGCGGGGTCGCCTGGCTGTCGAACTCTGAAAATCAGCCAGCTCCGGCCACCGGAGTGAACGCTGAGCCCTTGTTATAAAAAGGCAGGAAAATCCGGAGAAAGGCTTGCAGCGGCGAATGAGGAAAGTCTTGATGATAAAGTGAGAGAATTTGAGAGCGTCAGCATTGTACGATCATCTTAATTATACTACATACGAAATAAGGCGTCTGATTTTTAAAAAAAGGAGCAAGAGTTACAATTTTTAAAATGATGTCACTTGTTTAACTGGCCAAGAGCAATTTGACACAACCGGACAGATGATGCCATGTTACAGCCATTGAAAGCTGTATTGGGGGATATTGGGGAGTTATTTATTTAAAGCTTTCCATCATCTCGGTGGTGGAGAGAGATTAATTTTCTTTTCATAACTGAATAAGAACTAATTAAGGTGTAACCAAGCATGATCTAATACTGTGGCTGACCATATTTCTAGGCCCAATGTAGTGCATCGTGAAAAGTTAGAGTCACGTTTTATAGACTCGTAATTATTTGTGTGTTCTTTTCGTGTTTAGAGAGACTTGATGAGAATCAAATCATTTTATCTTAAAGCTCTGGTTGTGGTCATATTGTTCCTGAAATCTTCAGTGTCTGTGAATTCCACCTCAGTGATCTTCATGGACCGCGTTAAAGCATGCTACATCTAACTAAAAAGTGTGGGCTTTATTTTTACATTTTCTAAATCTTATTTTTCTTTTTGCCTCTGGACCTACAGTAACACCACTGTCACTATATTATGTTGGTTAAAACTTGTAAACGCATTCCATTATGTACCTCACTCGAAATATTCTTAGTAAAATGCTTTTTAAAACTGAACCTAATCACCGAATTACTGCAGGGGGAAAAAAATCACTTGACTTAAAGCGAGTTCTGGCATTCTTTAAAAATGAACTCATGTGAGATTTCTCTGGTATCTTTAATGCATAAGTATCTTCACTTCTTTGTCCTCTGTTCTTTCTCACATTAATAGATAAACAAGGAAAAGCTTCTGTTAAATATTGAGATGATTCCTCCAAATAAATGATCCACTTTTAGTCAATATGAGCTTTTCTAGTGTTAATAAGCTTATTGCTGGGTGTTCTCGTAGATTTAACTGTGGCGGTTTGGTACAAATGAGTGAGAAATTCAGGGAGGAAAGGCACACACATTAACTTTTCAAACTGTCCTTTTCAGCTTCTAGATACTGCCCCTCAGTGTGCAAAGAGGAGAAGGCGGCCACTTGTTCTCTGCCACATAGGACATTAGAGAGAATATCCACATGTTCATAAACGGTTCTGGACAGGGGGAGGAAAACACTGCTTAAAAGGCGAATAAAAGCTACTTTTGTATGTTTTATCCAACTATTGTTGATCGCCAAACCATCACCCCACCCCATCTCCCATCACGAATGGCACCATTCAATTCTCAAAGTAATCGTCAATCAGGTTATAACCTAGGAATTTTCTCAAATTTTATTGATTATTATACTAACTACTTAAGGGTTTACTTAATAAAATTAATATTGATAATGCAAATTATGCTTAGTAAAACTGCAATTAAAAATCCAATAACACCACGCAAGATCACAGTTTTGGGACAAATAAGTAATAATTATGTGATGACACTTGGATGCACAGTACTTTTAAACAGCTGGTTTGTTAACACTAATGTTAGGACTGACATTTCATAATAACATTTTTAAATAAATTTATTCAAGTAATAAATTTATTCAAGTATGTGATTACCTTTATGTTTACAGTAAGCATATGTATGTTCACACATGGATACACTGACAAACCAGAAGAGCTCTTAAAATGGAGTAGATTTTTTTATGTGTAGCATTATATCACATACACCAAATGTTGGAAATCTAAATCTTAGAGGGTGCACATTGTATATGAATTTACCTGGAAACAAAAAGGCTTTCTAACAACATTACCAGTTCCATTTCATAAACACTATGTAATATTAATGTTTATCATCATTTTACCTGAGATTGAAACTTATAGATCTTATATGACATCTTATAAAGTGCTTAAGTATCGCCATCTTATGGTAAGATAAGTCACTTGAAACTCAATTTTATCTTTAAATTGTTAAAAAAAAAATGCTCAAACCTCTAGATTGACAGGATGAACTCACTTTCAGCATGTACTGATTACTTTCTTTCCTCTCATTTAATACATCAGAAAATTGGCAAGATCACTATTTTCTTTCGACAAAGGAAGGCAATACACCGCTAATTATTTGTATTTTTATGCAGACAGACGATCAATTTTCCTCTCAGGAAAATGATGAGAATTATGTTTTCTTAATTAAAATCTTATTAACGAGTTTCCAGTTCCATTTAGAACTCATGGGTCTATCACTTTGCCTATTGAGGAGATATTAATTAATTCCATTTGTGATGGAGCGTCTGAAGTATAGGCTGTGTGCCAAACCACCCTGCTCTCGATAAGTTCTTTTAGAAAGTGAAAGCTTGCTGGAATTCAGTTGTTGCTTTTAGAGAGAAAGGACGGTTTCTGTGCAGGAAATTGCCGAGGGCAGCTGCTAGATGGCATCTCTGTGCTTTTCAAGGGAAGGAAATGAGTCCAGTAATGACCTTGATAGTAAGAAAGTGAGCCTTGCTCCTTATAAGAGTTTTGGCAGACCATTGTTTGAATGTGATGATAAAATAGTAGCTGCCGTTCATCACACCCACGCGTTTCTCTGCTCTGCGAGGCTGAACTCAGAAGAAAGGAGGATGCAAACAGGGCCGCACAGGTTTCCAAGAGAAAATTTACACCCGAGGCCGACACTTGAGTACCAGTGGCCACCGTCACACGTGGCAGGGCCCGTGAGCTTTAGGCGGTCAGACTTGTGTGAAAACTACTTTGCAGAATGCCCCAGCATGCTCAGACGGAGGATGCGTTCATTATCTTCTCGCCTGGAAATAGATGGAAGAACTTCCCACCGCGGTCCTCGCTCCCACTACAGACCTGAACCGTCACCATGACTCGGCAATAATCTTCAGGCACACACTGCTCTTTCTGAACAAAAGAACCCAGCCACTTAGGACTCGCCTTACATGAGACAGTTGCTTTGAAGCCATATAAACATGACGGGAGCTGAGAGCTCTGCAATCATTATACTGCTAAGGGCTTCGTAATGTAATACACCGTGTCTCAGTGCCTTCGTGTTAGAGAATTTGCAAAAGACAATCATCAGACTTACAATGGCTAGAGGTGACTTTGTACACACACCTGGTTAAAGTTCCGACCATTTTGTAATGAAATTGATAAAAAGCAAGAGCAGCACGAGAAATGAACCGAGGTGGGTACCAGTCTCCTTTAAAATGTGCCTTAAATGGTCTCTCTTCTCCTGAACCCACTGTGTGCGAGGGAGATCCTCTCTACCGCGGGATCGACTCAGATCGGAACAGCAAGTATGGATGGAGGGCACGTGGTGAGGCCTACAGGGTTCCCCAGCGAACCCTGATGGGGCAGGAAGCCAGAGCTCAGTGCAGCCCACCCATGTTTTGAAAGAGCAAATGAGTTTTCTACTCTCATTTTCTCCCATCTTCCTGGATCCTATTACATCTGTACTTTGCAGAAAGTAATTATTCTTTTTTCCCCTCTTCCTCTTGGCAACTTGAAAAGGTTAAACTTGTAGTGCTTTCCTTTATTGTAAAATTACTATTTCCTGTATTTTGCAACTATTCTCTTTAAAAAAAAGTTATTGGGACCATTTATTGCTGCTCCACTGAGAGGGAAAGCAGGGTGCAGTCGGTCCCTCGTGTCTCTTCCCTCCTTGGCCGCCAAGACGACACATCCGTGAGTGACTCTGGGAAAGGTGTGATCTCAGTGCCCGCGCCTGGAAGACGAGGGGTCTACCTGTTCTTAAAATTTCTTTGTTAAACTTTAGAATGACCGACTCTGCACCTCTCCCACCCTCACAACTCATATTGTCGACCTACTGTCCAAGGTGATGATATTAAGATATGAGGCCTTTGGGGTGATTCGGTCCTGAGGATGGGTCCCTCATGAATGGAATTAGTGCCCTTAGAGAAGAGGCCCCAGAGATCTAGTTCACCCTTTCCACCCCAATAAATTCAATACAAAAATAAGATAAAAAACAATAAACTGATTCTTCTCTGAGTTCAACCCATGTAGATAACATGAAGGGTAAAAAGTAGATGAGAGCAGCTACATAATGTCTAGGATAGACCTTACTCATGAACAACTAATATTTAAGAAATGTATTATCTCAAAACTACTTGCCATGCTATAGTGAGATTTGCCTTATTTTTCT